TGTGCGCTGCCTGGGTGTTTTTGAAAAAAACCAACGTGATTCTCAACGCGATTGTCAAAACCGCTGGCGACAGCTCTTTCTCTCTCTCTATCTCTCTCTCTCTCTCTCTCTCTCTCTCTCTCTCACCACAAAAGAAATCAGATCTCCAAATCTCAGATCCCTCTTCCTCCCCACGTCGATCTCTCTCTAATCGCCATCCATCCTTGCTCGATCTCTCGATCACCACCATGAATCCTCTCCGCCCCCTCTCAGATCCCCGACCGAGCAGCGTACCGCACCACAACGAATCCTCTCCGTCGCTTGTGACCCCAGACAGAGTAGCGCACCGCCACTGACCATTGCCCTCTCTCTTACTCCGTCTGTCGTGACCCCATCCACCACCGCCACCAACCGAGTAGCGCACCGCCACGAGATCCAGTCCCCTGCCACCCTCCATGAGATCCAGTCCCCCACCATGAGATCCAGTCCCCTGCCACGAGCTCAAACTCATCAAGTTCTCGCCTTTTCAGGTAATTATTCTATAGCTTATAGTTTAGTTCTCCTGATTCTGTGATTTTAATAATGAAAGAGGAATTAATGAAATCCTATAATTTTGGTCTTTTGATTGGATACAGTAGCAAAGATTGTCAATTTATGTGTCAATTGCAGTTGAGCTGGTCTTTTGATTGAATATACATGAGGTTTGTAGCTGGTTATTTATGTGTTGTAATGACTTTGAGCAGTTCATATATGTTACATTATCGCCTCTCAGTTCATATATGTTAAATTTATGCGTCGCTGCAACCAGTTCATATACATTATCGCCTCTTAGTGACTTACCTACTTAATAATATGTCAGAATGCAGCAGGACTCACTGATGGTCAAAGTTGTCAAACAATTTAAACTAAAATGAGAGTTAAAGTATTGTCAAACAATTTACACAAAGCCCTTGATTAGTTTAAACTGAAGTATTTATTTAGGTATTTTATATTATTTCTTGATGAATCCATGCTGTGTTATTACGCTTATGGTTTTTTTCAATTTTTTCTTCTTTGCATTTGTTTTACAGCAAATAAAGTGTTCGAAATGGGAGAATCAAGTGCTAGTGGAAGTGAAATTCCTGCCAATACAGAAAATGCTCCTAAGCCACTACTCGGAATAAAGTTTAATACTTATGAAGAAGCTTATAACTATTATAACTATTACGCATTGTTGATGGGTTTTGGAATAAGGAAGAGCACAGTAAATTACTCGAAGAAGACAAGAGACGTGCTAGACAGAAAGTTTGTTTGTGATAATGAGGGTTATAGATCTAATAGAGATAAGATGGAGATACCTTTTCGGCGAGTGACCCGAGTGGAATGTAAGGCAATGATGAGAGTTAAAGTATTAAAGGACAAATCGTGGGAGGTCACGGGGTTTGTTGAAGAACATACAAATTATGTGTTGAGTAGTCCAGACAAAGCAAAAATGCACAGATCACACCAACAATTCCATAAAACTCAAAGTTGTAAAAAACTTATTGAGAGTCTGCAAGAAGAATGTATACCTCCATCCACTATTTCTCGCATCATTAATACAACCAATGGTAGAGAATGTGAATTAGTGACACCACAACAGTGTATTGATCACATCAGATACCAGAGAGTCAACAATATTGGTAGTGAATGCATATCTATCATTCGACATTTTCAGAGTATGACAGCGAATGATCCAGAATTCTATTTTGCAATAGAAGTAGATAGTAGTGGTCAAATGAGGAGTGTTTTCTAGGCTGACGGAAGATCAAGAGCGTCTTATTTGCAATTCAGTGATGTTGTTGTGTTTGATGTGACATACAGAACTAATAAGTTCAGTCTTCCATTTGCTCCATTTACTGGTGTGAATCATCATAGACAATCTACTTTCCTTGGTTGTGCATTATTAGCTGATGAACAAGAAGATACATTTGTGTGGTTATTTCAAGAATGGCTAAAATGCATGCATGGGGTTGAACCAGGTGCTATTATAACAGATCAGGATAGAGCCATGTGTAATGCTATTCACTCTCTGTTTCTAATGGCAAGACACTGTTATTGCTTTTGGCACATGCAAAAGCACATTACTGATCACTTGCCTTCTTTGGCTTCTCGTTATGGTGAATAGTTTCAAAGGTATTGGGGCTTATGGTGTAATAGTTCTTTAATTGAACAGTGTGAAGGATATTGGCTAGAGATAAAGGAGAAGTTTGATATAAATGAAGAAGGGGATGGATGGTTGCAAACTGTTTACAAATATCGAGAACATTGGGTGTCATGTTATTTGAAGGACACTTTTTTTGCTGGAATGAGATCGAGCCAAAGAAGTGAAAGTATTAATGCATTTTTGATGGGTATGTTAACTCACAGACTCAATTACACGAGTTTATTCTACAATATGAAAAAGCATTAACTTATCGTCGCTTAAGTAAAGCCCATGAAGATTTCAAGAGTCTTAACACAAAGCCTATCATGCTCCTTGGGCATCCGATTGAGGTCCAAGCTGGAGAAATGTATTCACGCAACATGTTTGATGTGTTCCAAACTGAATTCAAAGGATTTGGTACAGAGTTTTGTGAAGAATTGAGAAAAGATGAGGATATTGTTGAATACAAGATTAGTAAGTTTGCAGATAGAGGAAAATGGGAGGTGGTTACTTATGAACAATCCAGTAAGATGCAGTTCATTTGTACATGTGCTTTGTTTGAAACTAATGGTGTTGTATGTAGACATATATTGTCGCTAATGATGGCTAGGCAAATTTCTTCATTACCCGAGCATTACATCCTACACCGTTGGACTATATATGCTCGACATAATAACATTGGGGTTGGCAATATTATATTTGGAAGAAACATCACAAGTTGTGAAGAGAAGATTAATTTGTTAAAATCTTGGGTTTTAAGAGCAAAATTCAATAATGTGCTCAAGCTTGCATTTGATTCAGAAGAGAGGATGCAGAAATTAGATAATGGGCTAACAAATTTCTTAGAATCACTTGAAGAAGAAGTTAGAAAAACAGAAGATAATCCTCAGATTTCCGCACCCATTTCTCATACAATGAAGCACATTCCTCAGATTACAGTTCATGATCCTGAAAAACCTGCAAGGACTAAAGGTCATCCACGCAGTGCTACTAGAATTCAGTCAGGCTTAGAACAAGCACAAGAAAAGAAAGAGAGGAAGAAGCGTATATGTAGATGCTACTAGAATTCAGTCAGGCTTAGAACAAGCACAAGAAAAGAAAGAGAGGAAGAAGCGTATATGTAGCAGATGTGGTGAACTCGGGCATTATAGAACAAGCACAAGAAAAGAAAGAGAGGAAGAAGCGTATATGTAGCAGATGTGGTGAACTCGGGCATTATAAAACTAGCTGAAAGTCAACTTGCCAAGGTACAAATTTTTTTTTCATATGTAGCTTTTTTGTGAATTTCTTATATGTAGCAGATTTGTTTAGGTATTCTCACTTCTCATGTTACTTTCTATATATTTGATTTTTTGCATGATGGGGATTTAGTGCACAACAGGGATTTAGTGCTTAACAATTTGTTTTTTTCAAGTATAGAATTGTCCTATATCATGCACATGTGATTCAGTGATACAATAAACTATACAGTTAACCTTATCCATGTATTGTTTCATTTGATTAATATATATTATGAAATTTGCAGCTAACCCAAGTTGAGGAGAAGAAGAAGATGAATCTTATGAGAAGATGAGGAAACAAAGAAGAATTATCGATGTCTTTAAACTGTGGACAGAATTTTTAATTTCAATGAACTACTATTTTCATGTATGTAATTGTTTATATATGTATCACTATCAGATGGACAGAATGAACTACTGTTTTCATGTTTATATATGTAACTGTGGACAGAATTTCTATTTGCCTAAAAGAAATCTTTGGCAGCTGACATCTATGAGATGGCAATCTGTGGTTGTTCATATATGTTGTCAAATTTTTTTGCCCCACAACACGGTAGCAGTGCATGCTTGAACGATTGAGGCCATACAATTTAAATCCATGACTCATGTTGTCCCAAGAATCATGTGCTGTGTAAATTTCTAGAGCTTAACCAACGCCTCAACAGTGTTTTAGTTTCATTTCCTCCCCTTAAAAGCAACATCTTGAATCGACATAAGTCACGGTTCACAGCCCTTTCAGACAAAAGATAAAACCAGAAATATTGCAACGATAGAGAAACCAACAAACTAAGTACAAAATGACATAAGTTATGCAAGCTTATTCTCACATTGAAAAATCATACACGAATCACATCAAATGTTTCCCCCAATAGAGAAACCAACAAATACTGTAACGATACATATTAGAAATATTAAAATTATAAACATTGAACCTAATACAAAAGCTTGGATGGAGGAAATAGCAGTTTCCCCAAGTGGTCCCTTGTCCTCAAGAAGATTATGCCCCCTGGAAACACTTGTTCTTGAACACAAACAGGTGGTTGCACATGCCTTGAGATGGATGCTAAATCACGCGTGCTTAAGTGCTTCTCCCATTCACTCAAAGCCTCTTCATATGTCGTATACCATTTGTAGGAGGCATTTGTGAATCTATCAACTTGAGATTTGCATTCATCCCAATCATAAAAAATGCCACAACGTCGACCTCTCTTTACAACATAAAAACTCTTTCTTGCCATTATATCACCTGCAAATTTGTGCCTTAAAAAGATATTATCAATGGAAAAAAGACAAGCAAATGTTCAAGATGCAGTTCTATGTATAGTGTAGCATTATCTGAAATATATATACCAAGGCCAGATAAGAAAACAAATGAATGCCGATAAGAAAACAGACTTTCATGTATAACCAGCTACAAACCTGAAGTTCAAACTTGACATCCTTCTACTGTTATTGTCGGACTTCCGATGTCGATAGAACCACCCTGTGTACAAGACGGTGTCATTTAATAGTTCGGATGATGATTTACAAGGAAAAAAAAGGTCTAAATTTGTTTAAGAGGAGAATGATTAAGGATCAAGGAAGTTACACTCTGGGGTTCTGTAGATTCTTCGACAACCACACTAGTGCAAATTCTGGCAGATTACTATAGAAATGCACAACTTTTGATCAGTAAAATAAAAAAGATATGTCCCTTAATACTTTAGTACTTGATATATGTACCTTGGATCTACAGCTTCAAGTAGTTTGCTCTGATACTTGCCTCCTAGCACCTGAACATGAACTTTTCCATTCAAAATAAGGAAGGTAAACACAGCTGCTACTAAAAGACTTCGATTAATTATCTAAACTACTTGCTATCATAAATTATGTGCTTACTTAGAATATTATTGAAATGCAAAAAAAACCATACTGCTGCAACTGGAAATTGATCATCACTAACTAGAGTCAGAGGTCACAATACACTTACAGCTTGAATCTAATCACAAGAAAATTAGTGAATTACATGAACTAAACCAACATAACAGCAAAAATGGGCATAAAAACTACCAAACCAATCAATTCATTCTACACCCAGAATCAACAACCCCGTTAATAAAACATTGATGTAGAACCAAAATTCATTCTAGCTCATCATTAGGAATATATGTTAATAAATTGACACTCTTTGCTACTGTATCCAATCAAAAGACCAAAATTATAGGATTTCATTAATTCCTCTTTCATTATTAAAATCACAGAATCAGGAGAACTAAACTATAAGCTATAGAATAATTACCTGAAAAGGCGAGAACTTGATGAGTTTGAGCTCGTGGCGGGTGGCGGGGACTGGATCTCGTGGCGGGGGACTGGATCTCGTGGAGGGCGGCGGGCACGGATCTCTGCAGTGCGCTGCTGAGACATCGGCCGTAGTGGATGGCGTCACGAACACGGTTAGTGACACGATGGCGCATCGGTCGTTTGCAGTGCGTTGCTCACAATCTGGGTCACGAGCAACGGACGAGGCATTCGCCTTCGTGCGGATGCGCTGCGCAGTCGGTGATCTTATGCAGAGGGCAAACCAAGAGAGGATTATGATGGCGGCGTGATCGGAGAACATCGAAGCGAGATGGATGCGTCTGAGAGAATCGACGTGGCGAGAAGCAGGCATCTAGATTTCGGGATCTGATTCCTATTTCTAGGAGAGAGAGAGAGAAAGCTTAGCCAGCGTCTATGCATAATCGCGATTATAGATCCCGTTGTTTTTTTTTAAGAAACAATCCCAGCCCAAGAGCACCTTAGAACACTGGCCAGCGGCCTTCTACATTTTCTAATAATATATAGACATATAATATATATTATATAATATAGTACATATATATAATATTATATATTATATATATATATATATGTGTGTGTGTGTATGTATATGTATATAATGAAAATCAACGTTTACAGAGGCTGAAATTAGCTTTTGAGCCGGTTTTCGCATTGTTTCACCTCGTATACTTCTTGTATCTGTATTCACATATACTATATCATCTCAAATAATTATCAAAAAAGAGTTTTTTATTACTCAAATAAGAAATATTATACACTTTACGTCCTAACAATCGCCCCTTTTGATAATAACAAATTTAAAATTTTACATACTTGAATATATACATATCTGAGATATATAAATAGCAACAACAAGTAAAAAGACAATTTTATAAAAAAAATAAATGATATTCAATGCTCCCCTACATTCATACACTCATGAAAAGTGTAATCAAACACATGTATTGAAAAATTCTCTCTAAAACAATGCATCGAGTATTTAAAAAAATTTAAAAAGAAGATTAAAAACATGAAACTGCATAGACCAAACTCCACTCACGCAAATATCATCAAATTTCAAAATTCACACCAAATTCTTCCCGTTTCGTTATTAACAAAAGTGGGAAACACGCCAATGGTTACCTTATACACAAAAAATTTAGATAAAAATTATCCAAATGTGTAAGGAAGAGAAATACACATTGGTTCACACAAAAATTTATTGGAACATAGCACAAGAAATTAAAAATTAATTATAAAATAGTTGAGCACGAGAGAAACTACTTCAAAAATCACACACAAAATGATATAATATCATTGTAAAGTATGTAAAATAAATAATAAAAACAATTATACTAGTTCATGAGATAGCCTCAGACATATTAAAAAGAATATTGGGCAATAATAAGACTTGAACTATCTCAACCTTAGAAAATAAGGACCAAAGTGTCACCCTATCACCTTAGTCATAAAGGATATAGGAGGAAGAACGATAGTATTTGGCAGGTGATTCATACCATCTCTAAATATAAAAACACTTAGTACATGATAACTACCCTTTGAGATATGCACAAAGATAATCCACGAGTGTGGATTTTTGACTATCTTTTAACAAATACACTCAATTTTCTATAAATTTCATAAGAGTGTGGATCATTGATCATCTTCTAACAAATACACTCTTTTTATTTGATATATTTGTAGGTTGTCTAAAAATTACTGTAGATAGCTAATCCCCATCAAACACCGATGATAGAAGTTATAATTTAACGGCTTCCAGAAGACTATAATTTGAAGACTTTCACGTAGATCGATAAATGTTATAATCTGACAACCTACACAATAACTGATGAAAGCCCTAATCAACTACCTTCACAATCAACATCGGGAGTTACAATCTAATGACTCTCATATTTTCAAAGAGCCAAGACGAAGATTATAAGATGACGATCTTTACAACGCTCTAGCAAAAGAGACTACAAATTAATAGTCTCTTCAAATCCAGATGCAGAACTCATCTCTGTGTCCTAGATTCAAAACGTAAAGCTCATGGCCGCGTTCCAAACTCCCAAAAGCAAAACACAAAGCCCGTAGCTATGTTCCAGAACGAGACGTAAAGCCCACGAGCTCCGTTCCAACTTCAAAACGCAAGGGTCAACCTTGCAGTCCAGATTCAAAATGCAGTGTGACCTGTGCATTCTCAGCCACCAACGCAGGTCCCAACTCTGTGTTTCAGTCCTAGAATGCAGTGTTCGTGCCCAGAATGCAGATTTTACATTTTACTTGTTCAAATACGAGTTAAACGGTTCTAAAATCATTCTCCCATGATTTTAGGGGGGATTACACCCCTTAAACCACTTGAACGGTTTCAAAACCATTTTCCATGAAATGGGGTCGATTACACCCCATTAAGGAGAGATTTTAGGGGACGGTTACACCCTTAAAAATCCCTATAAATGGAAAAAAACCCAGCAAAGTTGGGGGGATCTTCGATCTAGAATTTTAGAGATCAAAACTGCACAAATGAAAGATCGATATTCATCTTTTGGAGTAGTCCTTAGAAATTTTGGCAATGGCTTATTAACCAATTTTCGGTTCAAATCAACTCTTTTACAGAGTTTTCCAACTCGTTCAAATTTCTTTAACTCGTTAAGAGTTTCACACTTACCACACAAGTTCCATCAATCGTTCCAGCGAAGTGAGACGGTCAGATCATCCACGAGAAGCAACCTTAACGTGAGTTTCGAGGGAGGTATCTCATCGCCACCATGAAGAACCTAGTCTTAAACAAAGGGGAAGATCTCCATCGGTCTTCTTCTCTTTTGTAAACTTCAGAAAACCGATCAAGAAGATTATAATTTTTTTAAGCTTGTTACAGAGAAATTGTATTAAGAGAACTGTATTCATTCTTTGTCTAAGCTAGTTAGAGAGATAATATAATAAATCATATTCTTAATTATCTTCTTTTAATTTTCCCACAAACAAAAGATATTGACTCTGCTAGGTATTAGCTTCACTGATGAAGACGTGGTGGTACAATCCGATATCAAGATCGCTAGAACGAGCGTTGAAACTCTGATCATCGAGTTTGATCAATCCAGGTATGAGAAGGTACTTTCCTCCGGATCCCTTAGCCCCAAGGCTATGCATAAGATCCGCAAAGTCTCTAAGGAGACTAAAGCTCTAGTTGTGGCCGACTCATCAAAGAACTATCTCCCCTGGGAGTGGCACTGTTCATACAGTCCCCTCTCTAAAGGAGAAGACTTAGCTTCAGCCAAACTCGTCCACCGTGTTGAAGGTTCTACACCCGCGCTAAAGCGACAGGTATCGGGTCACAAAAGGCCCATCATGGCAACCAACTCTGTCAACACTGATGACATTGCTGCAAAGGTCGTAAAGTAGGCCAAGAAGAATGTCGCTCGATGAAGGAGAAGATCCTGACGACGGGCACAACTCCGAGAAAGTCGATCTTCTGATCAATGCGAGCTTCGCGTTTATGAGCTAAAATGCAACTCTGAGCTCTATGCTTCTACTATGAAATGTGAGGCACACGTTCATGAGCCCAAACAAGAGCTTCACATGAAGCAAATTAAACACAGCTCTCAAGAGCGGGAAAGAGTTAGAGTTATCCAGATTAGAGCAGGGAGAGATGTCTGTAGCTGAGTATGAGAGTAGAGTCATGAGCTTACTTTGATATACGGGCATGTGGCAGTTGAGAGAGCGTCGGACTCAGATGTTTCTACCTTCGTCACTACTTTGTTTCTAGACGATTCTGCTCAGTGCGAGAGATAGCCGACACTACTATATTATAGGAAACAGAGACTGTGATCTTTCAGAAGAACAAGGAAGGTAACTCCAAAGAAGGACAACATAGAGGTAAGGGCAATAGACCTTTCTTAAGATCCAAAGGACCCCAACAGTAGGGCAAGGGTTCACAGGATCAGCAGCAAGGCCCTTACAAGAAGAGAACACAGCTAGATCAAAGGGGGCCACAACAGCGTAGATTTCAAGGTGCATGTTTTCATTACCATAAGTTTGGTCATAGAGCAACAGAGTGTCATAGTGCACCAGGAGGATGTCAGCAGGGCCGAGGCCAGGGTCAGCAGGCACAGAATCGTGGGCATAGACAGCAGCAACAGAGCCGTGGATAGGGTTCACAACCACAAGGCCACGGGTATGGCTAACAGTATAGGATTGAGGCACCGCTGACCGTTCCGAAGATTGAGGGACAGATACACGCCATCCAGGAGGCACCTCAGGGAAAGATAGTCCCATATGTTTCATAGTCTTCAGCACAGCTAACTATAGCTACTGACATAGCTTATGCAGTCGTACCGTACGATCACTGTGTGAGTAGGGCCGTGGTGGAAGGTATGTTCTTTGTGAACACCTTCCCACCCCGTATTCTTTTTGATTCAGGCGCTTCTCATTCTTTCATATCCCATGATTTTATGATTAGACTCTAGCTAGTTACACAGACTCTAGATATTCTTTTGTCAGTTTCCACCTCTCTAGGTGATGTGTCGCTTCTAGAGAGCATATGTAAGATATGCATTATCAGCTTAGACGAGTGAGAGTTCATGGTCGATTTGATCATCCTATATATGTCCGAGTTTAATATGATTCTTGGTATGGATTGGTTATCTTCCTACCATGTTAGTATCGACTATTTTGTGAAGATAGTCAGCTTGCGAACATTCGATGGCACCGAGTTGGTTGTAGCGACCTCACGGGGTAACCAGTTTGTAGAGTCATTTTTGGCCTACATCGAAGACGTGATGATGCAAGATCGGGGTGCCGATTTGAGTGAGATACGAGTAGTCTCAGAGTATCAGTATATCTTTCAGGACATACCAGGATTGTCTCCAGTGAGAGAGGTAGAGTTTTGCATAGAGTTATAGTCGGGCACAACACCGATTTCTTGAGCAGCTTATTACATGGCACCTACTAAGATGAGGGAGCTACAGACTCAGTTGGATGGGCTATTATCTCAGGGTTTTATTCACCAGAGTTATTCTTCATAGGAAGCACCGGTCCTCTTCGTGAAGAAGAAGGACGATAGTATGTA